GGCTCCCAATCCTCCTGCTTGCTCCAGCTCTGTTGCTGCAGGCCGCCATCTTGGTTGGGTTAATTTGCATATAGTCACTCTGATTGGCTGGTGGGCGTGGCTTGGGGCATAGTGAAGGTATGGTCAATTTGTATGTTTGGCTATTATTAGGTAAGATTATGCTTTGATTGGTTGAACGGACGACCGGATGACAGGACCCTTAGCATATTAGGCTTTTATTATATAGGATTCCTTCTTTTATCACAGTAATAATTTTTCTTTTCAAAATGACAAAAACTTTTTACTGATTCTAAAATTCCCTTTTTATAATTGTAAATAATGACTAGAGAAAAACTTTAACATATTTAGTTAATCTCAGTACTTAAAGAGCCTGCATTTAAAAAAATATATATTTTTATTGATTTCAGAGAGAGGAAAGGAGAGAGAGAAACATCAATGAGAGAGAGTCATTGATGGGTTGCCTCCTGCATGCCCTCTACTGGGGATCAAGCCCAAAACCCAGGCATGTGCCCTGACCAGGAATTGAACTCTGATCTCCTGATTCATGGGTCAATGTTCAACCACTGAGCAACACCAGCTGGGATCTGCATTCTTTTCATATTTTAGGGAAAATTACTTTTAAGCCATTTTAGACAATTAGGTCATTGGGTATCTTGTGTTTTTTTTTGTTTGGTTGTGGCTGCTGTCTTATAATATTTTGGACGTGGGAAATTCTACAATGCTATCTGTATTTTTAGGAGGATTTAAAAACAACAACAACACTATCAAACAGAAAGTCCTAACAGCTCCTTTTCTTTAAACCCTTATGTTTTTTTATTAATATATTTTATTGATTTTTTACAGAGAGGAAGGGAGAGAGATAGAGAGTCAGAAACATCAATGAGAGATAGACATCGATCAGCCGCCTCCTGCACATCACCTACTGGGGATGTGCCCGCAACCCAGGTACCTGCCCTTGACCGGAATCGAACCCAGGACCTTTCAGTCCGCAGGCCGATGCTCCATCTACTGAGCCAAACCGGCTTCGGCAACCCTTATGTTTTTGAAAGCCATAATTAAGATAGATATCAACCTTATGGGTTAACCTACTTTTACAAAGATAGTAGGTTTTCCCAATCTATTTTCTTCCAATTTACCTTTATTCAACACAGTGGGGAGAATTGATACTTCTTTAGAGTGAAGCACAATTAGTAGGCCTAAATGCAATACAAATAGCACTTTATCTTGTTTATAACTGAAAGAACTATACCAATTGTAACCAGAAGTGCAGATTAGTCAGATTAAAATGTTTTGTCCTCAAGGTGCTTTTACTTAAGGAATAAAAGAATCTCTTCTTTGTTCTTTTTTAACCTGTAATATTTTTTACTTCTTTCAATGTCATTTAAGAAATCTGATTTAATATAAAGCCAATTTGAGAATTAATGAAGAAATGCTTAGACATTGTAACTATGTTTACACTAATTATACTAGACTTCATAGTAATATCCCCAATTCTGATTTTTATGTACAATTATCTTAAAGGCAGGATTGTGTATTAAGTGTGACTGTCTTCACACTTGTAAAATTTAAGAATATGTAGAATATATAGTCAGAGGGTACATAGAAGAGGAAAATATGTTTGATGGCCTTTGTTATTTTATTGTAATTTGATTTTTAACATTTTTGTATTTACTTTTTGAGTAGTGTTCACAAGGTACAAAATTCAAAGGCCCCAAAAGATACACAATGGGGAATGAGTTCTCCTCCTATTCCTTTTTCAGTCACTCAGGTGTACCCAGAGCAATCAAATGAAAAGTTACATCCAATGGTATTCTGCAGGTGTTTTCTGTGCTAGCCCCTCTGGCCCCTCCTTTGTTTAAAAGATGAGGTCGAAGGATGTAAAACCTGTAAAGGCGCCTTATTTTGAAAGAGAAGCAGGACCAGAATCTAGCGTCTCCTGGCATTCTAATTCAGGACTTTATGCAATTTTTTGCAGTAAACCCACTGCTTCTTTGTTTTTTTTTTTTCCATTGCCTCTTCAAAGTGGCTAATTGGCAACTGATAATCAGTGTGGATGGTCCAATGTGGTTAAATTTCAAAGTAGCTTCGTTTGAGACTGGAACACCCAGGACGGGTAAGGTTGACCTGAAGGGAGGTAGAGGACGAGAATTTTTGATTCATCCAAAGGAGGCAAAGGTTTTAAAAGTCTGACGTAGGGCTTAATCAAATAGTTTGACTTTTGCCGAGTCCAGGAGTCGGCCCCAGTCAGGCCCAGAGTGCTAACGTCAGCGGGGCTCCCAGCCAGGCGAGGACTGTAGGTAGCCCTCCGGGTGCTCGCACCCCTAACCACTGCACCGGGATTCTAAGGCGCCGGCCTAGGTCGCGTCAGTCTCCCCTCTCAGCCTGCGGACAGCGTGCAGTGGGGATGAGGCCTCGTCCTCGTCCTTGCTGCTTCAGCCGGTCGGGCGAGTGGGTACAGGAAGAGACGCCCTGGTACCTGCTCCAGGGCCTTCCAGGCACAGCCGACCAGGGTGTCGGGCTGCTTTCGCCCAACAGCCACATCAGACCTGGGCGGCCGGACCTGGCCGCTCAGTCAGGGCCCCTCAGGACCCCACGGACCCCACTCCCGGGGACACAGTCCTCCTGGCCAGCCTGCTCCCTCCTGGCCAAAAGCAGAAGTCTGCCCCACCCTGCCCTCAGGGGAAGACGGATCGCGCAGCCAAGAACTCGACTCCACCAACTGGGCATTTCTGAGCCCCGCGAGCAGGCGGAGACACCGCGTGGGTGCGGGACGGAACCTTAGCAAACACAGCCGGGGCCCAATGGCTTACTTCCGCCTTCGGGTGCAGGCCAATGAGGCGCGTGGGGCGGGACTTCCGCCTTGTCGCCGCGCTGTCGTCCCCGCTGCCGCTCCTGGCTCTGGGGTCGGTGAGGAGACCGAGGCATGGAATCAGGTTAGGACTTCTCCCGCAGAGACGCGTCCCGCGAGCCTATCTGTGTTGTGGGGCCAGCTTCCAGGTAAGAACCCCCACGGCCTCGGAGCGGCCGGGCGCCGGGCCTGGGCCGAAGAACACACCCCCTCGCCTGACTTGGAGCTGCGAGGTCTTTGCTGTTCTTCCCCAGGCTGGGCGCAGAGGAAAATAAGCTTTTCGTAAAAGGTTATAAAGATAAAAAGCTCTGCCTTGGGAAGGCCGAGACTCCCCCACCCCACACCCCACATCCCTCTCATGAGTTTGTATCTGAAGTTGCTGGTTTATCCGTTTGGCTCCTCACAGTCCCCTGCCGAGGTGACAGGAGCTTGGGAAGATGTTTGGAAGGTTTCTCTTGCCGCGAAGTCCCCAGGCTAGACTTTAGTTGCGGGGACTCTTTAATGTTTGGAAAAAAGAGGCTGTCACCTCCTTTCTTCCCAGCCCTTTCCCTCCTCCTTTTCCACTCCCTCGCCCCCGCCCAATGGGAGCTCAGATTGTAGATGGGACGTGACTCTGCTGGACACCGAGTCCCCGGCCCTGCCTCTTAGAGTCTGCTGCTCTGCCCGGAAGGAAGCCTATTGCGTGACCGGCAGAACCCTGTGCGGGAGAAGGATCAGCCCCACCCGAGGCCAAGCGACCCCAGAAGCACTCAGGCCACCAGTAACATTGGTGGCAGCCGCTGAGTGCTCTGTCAGCTTGTGGTAAACTCCTCAATTTTGGTCTAATTTGGCAATAATAAATTTCCAAAACTATCGTTTTATCCTCACTTTCAGTACCCTGGGCAGCCACTCAGGTCCTCTTGTGTCCCCAGACCTGACCGACTGTTATTTGTCAGTGATGCAGCAGGAACAGTGAGAACGAAGACATTTCTTTCAACAATGATCTGTTGTTTTCCAAGGAGAACATCTGCAGTTTTGATACAATATAAGCCAGATTGGGCGTGCCACCAAAGGAGTTTAGTATATTAATGGATTTTGGAATCAATTTAGTGCATTGACATTAACATTAGAAAGAGAAAGAGGGGAGAAATATCAGAGGACATCCTGTGGAGTAAGAGTAGATATTTATTTCATGAAGTTTTTGTTGGTTTTTAAATATGTGTATATGAAGAAGATGTTAATGTTGTTATTCATTAATTGAAATAATGAATTAATTGAAATAAGTTATTACATAGTTAAGCCTCAATGTTTTTTTTTAAATAATTGGTAGAGCTCAGTTATTTTTGTGTTAGAAATGACAATGTTTTATTAATATATTTTTTACTTCTGCTTTTATTTGAAGCCAACCAGCTTGTTGTCTCCATGTGTAATAGTAAATCATGTGGGCAGAATCTTGGTTTGTGCAGTTTCAGTACTTGAAGGGTTTGGAATACACTCTCATCTATCCTTGTTTAAAGCTCATTTCTCTCAAGCATTTTGTTACTAGCATTCAATACCCTTCCTTTGATAGTTTTCTGCATCAGAGTAACATAGATGTAGTAGAAGTTTTTCAGGTACTAATTTTAGCAAAGTAAGGGTAAGACTAAGGGTATGATAGGTTTATGTCTTCGAGCTACATTGGGTAGGAAGGCATTTTATGTTTTATAGTTATTGCCATAGAAAAATGAAATGAAATGGCTTGGTCAAATTTCATGGTATGCTTACTTTATATTGGTATGACCTAAAAACAGTTGGTGTTTAAGTAAAAAGTATGATTTTGGACATTTTAAAATCTGGGAATTAATGTTTAGCATAAGGCAAGATGAGTTTAAACCAAAATAGTATTTTGCATCATTTGACATATTACTCTCATATGGCATTGCATATGGTAGTTTCACATGACAAAAAGGGAAGAAAGTTGGTAAGCATTGTTAGTTTTCTTAAAAGAGGAAATAGTGAATTTCTTTTTTTACAACATGGAGTTTAATCATTGTTTAAAAATAAATATATTCTGCAAATAGTTATTGAGCATATATAAAAATACAGTATTAAGCTTTCACATTATGTAAAAATTGTTTTGGAAGTAGAACATATAATTGATATAGTCAGAGTTTACATATCATAGCATATAAATAACAACAACAGTAATAATAGCTAGCATTGATTGTTTACTAAGGGCGAAATACAAGTCTAAGCACTTTATATTATCTCATGTAATTCTCACTGTTATCAATATGGTAGATAGTACTAGTACCCCCTTTTTATATGGGGAACGAAGGCATCACAAATACAAAACTTGCTGAGTTAACACAGGTTGTTACTGGAGTTACTAGAATTTGCATGTGGGCATTCTGACAGTAAAGCCTTCCATCTTGTGTCATGTTTTATTAAAAAGTACAGAACGCTGTGGGGTTATTTTGGATTGTTTCCTTGCTGGTTTGGACGACTTTGCGTAAGCTCTTTTGGCCCTCCGTTTCTTCAACTCTTCCTTAAAAAAATGTAGTAAGCCATTATGTCTTTGTGGGAACTAGGATAATTTGTAAAGCATTGGACAGAATTTGTGTTCAATGAATGATATGCCTCAGCCATTTTTCTTTCCTTGAGGATGTGAACATTCAAAATATTGTTAGAGGTTGGAGGAGGATGGGAGGCGATAGCTAGTTCCACATAAGGACACTGAACCATCAAAGGTACTGAGGTAGGAAAGCAAAATTGTATGTTTAAGGAACAGGCTGGTAAGGATACCTATTTACAGATTATGTAGATCCTTAATACCAGGGTAAGGATTTTGTACATGATTCTTAGTTGAAAAGAACGCCTTTTTATGGATATTAATCTTTTTTTTTATGGATAGTAATTTTTAACAGAAGTCTGGTGTAGTGGAAGCCTGGAGGTTGGAATACAGTGGAGTTAAAAATTACAGTAGTTGAGTCAAGAATGATGACAGTGTGATTGTAGTGAAGGGTATAGAGACCTGAGAGATGTTTACATTGACATTGGGAACTGACATATAAGTATAAGAAATTTTGGGGAGGATAGTAATCTATTAACAAAAACAAGGATATTATGAAGAACAGGTTTTGGTGGAAGGGGATTTAGGAGAAGAATTTATGATAGGGATTTCGGTTTTGGAGCTGAGGAGTTGTTCAGATGTTTGGAAATATAAAATGGGAACGGGAGCTTTGTATGTTCCATAAAAATCTAAGAGATGATTTGCTCACATTTTGAGGAAAATTCGCCTGTGGGTCAAAGTTTCAAAGGGGTGATGTGACTCTTGAAGGTTCTCAGAAATGCTAATTTCTCACTTAATAGAGATGTACCCACTATTTTTCTCTGTGATATGTTTTGTGTCCTGGGAGGACAGGAAAGAAGGTAGGTGGGAAGGAAAATTTTGGAAACCTAGCAAGACTCCTATTTATTATTTCAAGAAGAGCCAATAAATTGGAGGCTCACTAAGAACTTGGAAAGATGCTGTGATTTTTATGTAGTGCCAGGCATTCATACACACAGTTAGATGTTAAATTGTAACATCTTCAGATTTGTTATTTTTGTCATCCCTACTTTGTTACCCTTAATAGCAAAACCTTTCAAAACAGAGAACCTGTGTGCTTTTTATGGGGCAGCAACAAGAGGGGACCTAGTGAGATTGTATTTTGCTTACAGCTAAGATTGTGGAAGGAGAACCTCAAAGGATAAGAGAAGAAGGCTACATGATGGGGAGAAGAGAAATTCTGTGAATGAATCTCTGTGCTACCCATTCTCTGGCTTCAGTTTCCTCATTTTATAAAATGACGATGAGATAAGAGAATTCTGACCTTTGGTAAAAAGAAAAGAAAACCATTTGGAGACCCTTCACACTTGAAAAAACAGCTCAGATCAAAGAGTAGTAGGCCTTTAGGTTTTCTCTTTTGGCAAATTTTCTGGGGTTTGGTGTATTTGAATAGGGCATGGTGCTAAATTAAGCAGTATAATTTATCCATCTCTGAACTATTTTTACTTCCTTGTAATGCAAGGCCTGAGTTACTAGCCAATCGAATAAAATATTGAACATTAGGCACAAGTGATAGGACAAGGAAAGTTTTACATGTTCTGTCACACTATTGTTGGAAACATTACTCGGAGCCTGTTACTTATGGGTTTTTCTACAGCATTCACTCACCAAGTATTTATTAAGTGCCTTCTATGTCTGTTCTAGGCACTCAGAGTACATTAGTGAACCAAAGAGACAAAATCCTTGACCCCATGGAAATTATCTTTCAGTGGGAGAAGTAAGGTAAATTTAGTAATGGAAAGTAATTAGATTTTTCTTATCCTATCTAATAATAGACAAACATGGTAATTGACTGTATCTTCACTACGCCTCCCATGGGCTAATCAGCAAGATATACAAATTAACCACCAACAAAGATGGCGGCGAATCTGCATACTGCAGGCAGGGCAGGACAGCGTGAGCTGCCAGCGTGAGCCAGTATCCAGGCCCTCATGGGTGACCCCAGAAGCCGCCTGCCTGCTGCCCGTCATCGGATTTGGTCCCGGGCCGCAGGCAGGCCAGCCCCAGAAGCCCCAGAAGCCGCCTGCCTGCTGCCTGTCATCGGATCCGGTCCCGGGCCACAGGCAGCATACTGCAGGCAGGGCAGGACAGCGTGAGCTGCCAGCGTGAGCCAGTATCCAGGCCCTCATGGGTGACCCCAGAAGCCGCCTGCCTGCTGCCCGTCATCGGATTTGGTCCCGGGCCGCAGGCAGGCCAGCCCCAGAAGCCCCAGAAGCCGCCTGCCTGCTGCCTGTCATCGGATCCGGTCCCGGGCCACAGGCAGCCGGGCCCCAGAAGCCCCAGAAGCTGCCAGATATGGCGGTAACTCCATCAGTAAGCACTCTGAAAGTCAGTGGCATAAATGCACCAATTAAAAGACAGATTATGAGGGTGAATCAAAAACAAAACCCACTTTAAATATAAACACACATATAGATTAAAAGTAAATGAATTAAGCTGCAGCCTGTTTTGCTCAGTGGATAGAG